AGAATTATTAATATTACTTTTATTATTTATTTTGGGATAAAATGATAATATGAATATTAGGTAAATATAATATTTAATATATATTAACCTAATATTTCCAAATAATTACATTATTGATTTGACTAATTAACATTAAAGTTCCTATATACATATATTCTAGCATGCCATGAAAATTCTCCGATTTTCGTATGCAACAAATCAACATGAAGAAATTTGCTTTCGAACAAATTTTATGTAAGAGTACACACACAAATAAATTTTTACAAAAAAGTAGAAAATTGACGCTTTGAAGAACGAAAACTAGATTTAGACGCAGAGACTGAAATTTTGTCGTGGATTCATAAAAACAAATATTTTCGTGAAATTTTTTTGGAAAACAATTTAGCCTTGACACTTGTTTCGCAGAGACGGCTTTGGATCGAGACGATTGTTGTTCATTGTACACTTGGTATTTGTTTCGACAACAACTAGAAACTAGGGCCCTAAATTTATAAAAACAAAAAAATAAATAAACACACATACATTATTTTTCATCCCTTAAGGATTCCTGTATTTAAAAGTAATTGGAATATATAATGCCGAGACCATCAGGTAAATGAAAAAGTGAAATCAATAATATTTTATTTCATTTATTTACTTATTTATTATTAATTCTTTTTTTTTTTTTTTTGTGTATGTTCACATCTAGGACCCGGACCAGCGGCTTATACATTGCCGAGCACGTTTGGCTATGAGAATTGCGATGCGCGCATGCGTCGCGGTCCACAATATTCGTTTGGACGCAAGCCAGCCTTGCCGGCATTCAATCGATCGGGTCCCGGCCCGGCGGAATATCGAATAGGTCAAATTACGCGTTTTGGGAATGCGAAGGGACTTGAGTTTTCTATGCTTCAACGGGGACAGCTAAACAAACCCAACTCGGTGCGCTTCGACTAGCTTGACGCGAATCGAGATGGAATGTACTACTGGGGGAGTGAAATGATTTCTTCACGTGAGACTCTCGTAGACCAAGTTTTTAACAATCATTTTGTCACCCTTAGTATCAGTAATATTTAGGTAGTTCTCGGATTGAGTAGATTATATAGTGCTTTCCCTTTATTGAAAATTCATCCAATTTCATTCATTATCAATTCAAATTGCGGTCATGGTTAGGGCGACAGACAAACGTTTCGGGCCCGGTCAGTAGTCAGTAGTCGGTAGTGTCGAGGAAAAGAAATGCCACTTGGCAATTTAAAAGGTTTAGAGTGCACTTGAGCTGGTTGGCTTTGTGTCTGGGCCATAATGAAGCCGCCATCGGCATTAAGTTGCCAAGCTCTTAAGTAACTTACTTTGGCCATGCTGTCTGACTGACTGACTGACTAACTGACTGACTGACTGACTGACTGATCTGTGCTGTGGTGTGGTTCTAAGCAAAAGCCTGTTATTTTCATGCTTGTAATAATCACACAGTAAACAGACAGCAGGAGCAGACGGTCCGACTCGCATAGTGGCAGTGGCAGTGTTAGGGCGCGGACCGACAGGGGCAGGAGGGGCGGCTGGAGAGCAGGCATTGGTCGTGAGAACGCAACTGAAAGCAAAGAAAGGGCCTCGACAAACTGCCTCATGGCGACGCCGCATATTGTTGCCCGTTGTTGTTGCTGCTGCTGCTGCTGCAGCCGCCGCAAGCTGTAATTGCAACGTCAACGTAAATGCATAGCACGAGAGCTGCACAAGAATTTCACGGATGTGCGATGTGCGATGCGTGCATTTTGCAGATGGCCTCGTTGGACACTTGGACGCTGGGACACTGCGGATTGGATTGGGTTTGAAAACTGACCAGTGCTGGACATCACGTACGCAAACACTAACATGTTTACACATCCATGCACTGGACAAAATTTTATAGTTGATTTGAGAAAAAAATATGTGTTTGTGACTTACGAAATAATATTTTGACAAGAGCCTCCCAAACAAAGCTTGATAATTGTGTAAAACCCAGATTTGCATGAAAAAATAAAACTATACCAAAGCAATTGCGAATTGAGATTAGATTATGATTGGATGAAAGATGTTTTAATTGCAGATAAAATTGTAGATAAAAGGCTTGAAGTGAATAAAAAGTTTACTTTAAAGAATGGAATATTTTATATGTAGGGCTTAGGAAACAATTTTTGGCCTTTTGTTTTAATAAAAATTTTTCTTTTAATTTTTATGAAAATGTTTAATATATGTATAAAATAAAATAAAAACCATCAAATAAAAATCTGCAGATGAAATACATTTTTCATTAAGTTTAGCCTCGAATATATATTCACATACATTTTTCACAGTGCACACGTTTGATTGAACTTGGCCAAGCAGCTTCTTCCTGCAGGGGCTGCTGGCCGAACGGCGAGTGGTGGGAGAGGAGAGAAGAGCCAAGCAGAAGAACCAGAAGATTTA